ACCAACGTTTCAAATTTGATCTTATTTGCATGTGATCACTCTTATTCCAGTAGAGAGATGGTGCCAAATACAAAACTGCTTTGAGGAATATGGCAGAAAAATTCCAGACTTAATGCACAGCATCAGGTTGCCTTTCTGGTGACGAAGCTTCCAACTCCAGTAAAATCTTGTAGGATTCATACAGCCTACTTAAAGTGGGGAATTTGGACTGCACAAAAAATAAAGTAAAAAAGTAAAAACCAAAGTCACCTTGCATCTGTATTCTGTTTCCTTAGTTCATGCCATATTGTCATTTACTTGTGTGAGGCAGAAGGTAGCAAATATATAAGGACCCAAATAAGTAAAATGCCAGCAGATACCAAAGAAAATTATGTGAGAAAAATCAATACCTAACCCTGTTTTTCTGCATAATTAAGACATTCACATATAACCGGACCAGTCTTTTGGACCAAGGGAGGGGGGAATAACTATAGAAACAGTTAAGAGTTGCCCCTAAATTTGTTCGATAATATTTTCACGGAACACGCAGATAAACAGTGAACAAAATAAAGTTAACAACCAAAGCAAAGAACACAGAAGCAGACAAGAGTTTACCATGTTAATGTTAAACCTTGAAGTAGATACAACAATCTGTGGAGCTAAGAACACATCTGCCTGCAATTAAAACACTTCAATTAGTCAGAAACAGCTCAAGCGGCGGGAAAAAAAAAATCTTATATTGCTTCTAAAACTTCAATTAAAAAAAAGCTCATGCACAGACATCCAAGAGTCATGGAGATATCTTATTGTCACCATTTATGTCATCCGCCAATATGTTGGGTTAGAAAAATTGTTGTCAGTTCACATTGGTTTAAATAAAAGGAATTAAGATAGGATTGCAGTTAAAGAATTGTAACAAAGAAGCACAGAGCATTCAGAAGAGAGACCATATACACTTCATCTCCTGTGGCATATCTGCTGGCAAAATCCTTCAGCAACATCTCAAGAGCTACAGATGAGAAATAAACAAAGAGAAAATGTAAGCATCAACTAGTAGCACTCTCGAGTAGTTTCACATCATGCATGTTAATATACATGTACTTTTATATATAAAAGCTTTAATACAAGCGAAAAAACAGAGTTATTTAACACTACCAGACATAAATGCACTCTGGTCTGCTCTCCCACACAAGCTGCAACTAATAAGTCAATCATCGAGTGATTTTGCATGGCAAATTATTTGTTCATTTGATCTCTCTCAATAATTTGCAGTCATACTTGCACATAGAAGACATAATAATAGGTGAATTGTCAATCTGCAAGTGGCTGTTGATAGCAGTTGCTATCATAAATCAGTGCTAGA